ATGCACACTTAACAGTTAATGTTTCAATTAAGAAAATCGTACATTTGATGTTTACGTCTAGAGATGTTTTCAGCTTAAAAAATAATAATAATGCCACTAAACCACGAAAAAATCTTTACACTAGCATATATGGTAGAAAGATAATGATGTTTAGTCTATATTTATCGTTTCCTTAGGAATTTAGGAATTAGGAAATACCTACTTATTTATCTTCTTTCCAAATTACCTATGAACGTGATGTTAAAGCAACTTGATACAATAATAATGTATTTTTAATAAAATGTTTATAAAACCAGTTGATACGTCATTACCAATCTTAGACTTTTGATGAATCATATTTACACAGAGTCACTAAACAATATGTTGCAAAATAAGTGTACCAACTTTGGTATCTATACTTCAACTAGTTTAGAAGATATTGGTAACGAATAATAGTCAATAAGTTAGTTGCTATACAGTTCGTACGATATTTGTTGAGATAGAATTCCAAGAAGACAAGACTCCTGCCTCACTTTCTTGGAATTAACCGCATTTGTCACTCGAGGTAAAGGAACATTGACAGCGTAGCAACTTGCAATACATGCTGTGTTTTACTGTTAGGAAGACGTGTTTCTTGAGTCTATCGTCCTGTGCATTTTCAGTGTAGAAAAATTTACTTTGGTCTGGTAAATATTTAATGAAGGTTTTATACTATAAATTTAAATGTAGGAATAGGTATATGACATCAATACAGGAAAAACAACAAAGAAATTGAAGATTTGGTTGATAATGAATATTACAAATGAAATATTTAGAAGCATAATTTCGTTTATTGCATATTAATAATTGATATAAAAATGCAATCATTTTCCGTTTTCAAGATGTTTTACTTTATTTATTTTGACATTTATAGGACTATCTGCTATACCCAAAGATATATATTTTTAATATCTAATAAATTTTAGTCATCTTAAGTTGTCCTAAGTGACTGCAAATGCTCCAAAAAATGTTGGGATATGGGGGGAAGGGAGGATTGGTACCACTGGAAACCTCAGATCTCGACGTCACTAAGTATTGTGCAAATTCTTTTTAACAAGTATTATTTATGAGAAAATATATTTCCATTTTACACAAAGAAAGAGCTATTTTAGTGTTTGTAACTGTTTTGTAGTTACTGTAAAAAAATAACCTTTACAAATTATTTAATAAAAAAATTAACAAACCATTTATGCTAAGCTAAAACTTTCCAAAAACAGTTTATGTGATTTTTGTAAAAAAAAAATATTATTTTAAATACATTGTAATGTCTTTAAAAAAACATAGTTTAGAAATCATTTTCAAATATCCAAAGGCTCCTGAAATCAAAATTTCTACGTCAATGATTTTTTTGACTTAAATTGTGTTTAAAATTGTATTTCTAACAAAAAATTCCTATAAACTCTTTTTGAAGTACAAATAGTTTTGGAGTCATTTTAGATTTGTTTAAGTATGTAGTAATCCTATTTTAAAGAAAAAAAGAAACTCTAAAACGGCTCGTTCATAGAATAACGTAGAAGAAATCATTTTTTTGGAAATATAGAATGTTAGTATCGAAAATACTAATAGAATCTGCACAACGTACAGTGGTGTCGAAATTCTGAGGATCTTAATGGTACTGGCCCTCTGCATCTCCATTATTGGTTGACGTATTTATAAGTCGGCTTAGCAAATGTGTATATCTAATTAGACAAAACAATGGCATTCATCTCATCAGTCTACATTAAATGTCCTCAGAGATATTCCAGGATTTCCTTTTTTTTCTAATTTGAAGATCACTTGGTGAGGTTTCCCAATTAAAACGTAAAGACATTTTCAAGCATAGTCTTCTTAAGACATCATTTTAACCTATGAAAACGACAGAATTTCAACAAAAAAGTAAAGGTAATTTAATTTTCCGGAAATATCCACATAATGATTATTATCTAACATATACATACAGTCTTCAAAATGGCATATTCAGTTTACCTCACAGTTAAATATTAATTAAAAATAATTGATTCATAGTTTCCATCCCTCAGTAATTCTAATTTTTCTAAGTAGTTCGTAAATAAAATACATTACAGTTGTAGAATTTGTTAATTGTTCATTATTGGGTTTTGTCGATCGGTTTTGTTGACAAAAACGCGAATGGCAAATGTGGCACTCCACCATTAACAAAGTTATATCGGCTTCTGGTACAACCGGAAGAATCGTAAACTTGTAAATATATTAATTGTGCTGACCCTACTGCAATTAGTTTCCAATTGAATTATTCTTTTTCTTTATTTATTTCAAAAGTATACCTTTCTCCATATCGATAGTACCGATTTCTGCTGGGGCACCCTTTACACGTGTTTTTTTTAAATGGCAAAATTCACTGAAACAACGTTCAGGATAACAAATTAAACGAAACGGTAAACTTCCTCATAGGTAAAAAGAACTATTTAGAACGTGGACAGCATACCAATTATCTGATATATCTAACGATCAGCAAATGGTTTATGTTAATGTGAGATATCACTGTTCTAATTCCCTTCACGTATGCAACTGGTATGAACAATCTCGAATAGTTTTTTTTTTTTCATTGATGTATACTGTTTTTGTTAACTGACACAGAACTGGAAGAGAAAGTAAAATGTAAAATACCGACAGTATTTTATGTCGTACAGACCAGTCGTCTGTTACGTAAATCCTTGATTTTGAAGATTTTTCAGTTACCTTCGTGAATTCAAACAAAGGAACAGCGAGAGGATGTTATGAAATTCATTTGATTGTTTGAGACGAAATGGAAAGGCGTCCAATGGTATACTGGTTTTATCTCAAGCATATTTGAAGAGATTATGAATCCACCTAGACTGTATGCAACATAATTAAAAAAATATTTACAACATGTAAACTATAAAGTATTCAGAAAACTATAAATAAATGAAAGACTAAACATCAAAATATTTTCAAGTCTCAAGTATTTTTGAATCAAGCAAAAATTTACTGTTGTTTTGAAAACAGACATTTCGCACAGGAAATCTATTTTTTTAATTATGTGTTCTATTTTGGTCCACTTTCATGAAAAACCTAACTTTAATAGTTTTCTCAAAAGTTAGATATAGTGTTTTGACATGCATAATTTTTCAGATATTAACAATATAATTTTATAGTATATAGTATAGTATATAGTATATATAATAGTTTCAGATTCGGATAAACTAATGCGGACATTTTAGATCGACGGGTTTTAAAATGAGAAGAAATGAAAGAACAAACAATTAGCAATTCTAAATACATACATCGTTATTATTTTACATATTCACCATTTCGCTCCGAAAACTTTGGATATTATGAAGTAGGCTTTTTCAAACCCTTCGCATACAATTCTATTACTTAGTATTGCAGCCAGTTTTGCACCGAGGTTTTATAGTTCACGATTTTCCTGGATGATCAGTTTTTGGGATGTAAGAAAAGATGGTAGTCGCTAGGCATGAGGTTACGATGGATGGATAAAAAATCTCCCATCGGCACTTTTGAATCGTCTCCACATTCCTGATCTCAGAAGTGACCACCATATCTTTCTGCACCAGAAGAACTAGCTTGCTCTCAAATATTCAAAATGCAATTACTATCTGTATACATATGTATACTAAAAAAAATTGATTATCTTGTACATTTTTGAAACAATAGATTCAAATATAATGTCCAAACGTTCAAAGTATTCTTTCCCTTAATGCTACCATATTAGATTAGATTAACTGTAGAATGTAAAGTTAAACTGATAATGTGGTAACTGAAGATGGTATCAAAAATATGAAAAAACATCTCCAAAACTAGAACAAATCAGGAAATAGCAAAGATAAATATAGTAATCCATGTAGTTTCGCAATTCCGTAGAATATTTATCATTATGTATAATACTGAACATTAATAAAGTTTCAGAAAGTAATATCACTCTTAAGATGTTAGGAGCTGTTTATGCAATAACCTCCCAAGAAAAGTATTATTAGATACCGAAGAAGAAAAGGAAAAGAACACTAAAGAAAATATGGCATGCGGTTAAGGAGGGTCTAGGTGTGCAAAATGAATTGCAACTAATAGAGGAAGATCGAAAAATATATTTTTCAATTTAAGCTAAATTTATAAATCAATCCGTATTAGAGATCTTTTAATATCTCATGAGCCGCGAAATGCGCGAAAGGCGAGGCGTATCCCCATAATTCTTCTAATAAGCACGTTGTGAAAACATTGACTCAAAATTAGACCACGTGCCTCATCACAACCAGAAATGAGCTAAGGCGCTCGGGCATCAATAAAGTCAACTGGCGAACGTTCGTTATATATATATTTTTATTGTTTAAATTAAAATAATAAAGAATAGGGCATTTTATTATGATATTTGTAATCGGATCAAAGGCTTGTTTACGCTAGAGCTCGAGAGAGACTGTGAATAATAGGTGCAATGTTTTTAGGATGTAGAATAATTTAGGCGACGGTCGGAATTATGTTTCTGCGCATATGAAGGTCAAAGCTCATAAGATTTTAAAACATCTCTACTACTATTACTAATCAACAAATTCTTATTTCAAACCGTTCCAGAATTATTAAGGAATTTCAAATTTTATTACCAAAAAAGTATTAAGAAAATTTGCATAATTTTGTTTGCGTATTACTACTATTACTAATCAATATACATAATAGCATAGAAATGTGGACGGAAACTATTGTGGTCTAACTTGTCTTAAGGAAGTTACTTTATATTCTAAATTTAGCACTGCACTATAACATTTATAAATCAATATCAATGTTTCCTTCACTGTTACTTTCAAAACGAAGTATCCGGTTAAGTTGAACGTAGCGTCCATGAAAATTATGGAATCATTGTACTTGATAATAGAATTACCCAAAATTAATTATGCCAATATTTTTATAATTCATTATTGCTTATAAGTAGAATGTAAAGAATAACAGTCGTTAAAGAAACCGATTATCCATTCTAATGTTTCCTTTATTTACAGGCAACTGATGGAAAAAGGATCCTCGCAGCCTTGGAGGGACGCACTTTTCCAGGCTACAGGCGAAAGCCGGCTAGATGGCAGTGCTCTGCGAGAATATTTTCGACCACTTGAAGATTGGCTTAGAAACGAAAATTTAAGAACCGGTAAAATTAATAACTTTACAATTTCATTATTGTCCCAGTCATGGTAGTGTAGCATGCGTTTAGATAAAGCTCGGAAAAAAATGGTTTCAAACATTTCAGAGTAATAAAATTTAAAAAAATTCAAATTACGCTTTAAATTCAATATGGAAAATCAAAAACAGACGCAAATAAAAATTATAAAATGTATGTATTGATCTAAATTCGGTGTAATGTTATTTGGAAAATTATGCAAAAAAAAACGCCGATATTTCAGTACTCGTCTACATCTTCCGCTTCAGCGAGTAAGAGTTTTTCTAAGTAAAATTAGTAATTTTTTATGATTATCTGAGTCCGATCGAAAAGGTTAAAAACGTTACTAAGGCGAATTTTCAGTAGAATACAGTGATTTAGAAGTTGAAATCATTAATTCCATTCGTTCTTCAAGTTTAAATGAAACTTTTATTTATTTTTTTTTATCGAGAATGCCCCATGTATTTTTTACAATTCTACTGCAATTTAAATAATTTTTTCAGTTATATAGAGTTGTCTGTAACTGTATGTTACAAAGCATACTATAGTAATTAAGCATGGGAAAATTTGATTAATTAGCTTTTGGTCGGTTGCGCGTATTAACGAAAATACGGCCCTGCATAAAATTTCAAATTTCATGATATATAATAAGCAGGTGTAGCACAAATCGATTAGGCATATAATTTAATTGCAGAAATAAAATATCGAGAAGCAGTGTCATTTTTATAAATAAAAAATTAATTAATGATATACAATTTCTCGAAATAACAGTCTCTTGTGTAACAATTTTTTATGTATTTTTTTGCGCGAGATATGGTCCCATATAATTGTAATTTTAAATATGTCTGCCTAAAATACAAATTCAACATAAATTACATATGTTAATTTGATTATTGGATGACAAATTGGTTCGAATAAATAAAAAAAGGCTATTTTTAGATAAAGTTTCCATTCCAAACCTAGGTTAAAAAACATTTCAAGAAACAATCAGAAACAATCAATACAAATTTATTATTGGCTAAATCATCAAAATGTAGAATTATTAATGTCTTTTTATATGGTTTTGGACCAGAAACTTTACAAAAATTGTTATTCAATATCCAAGGCCTTTATATTAATTGGCATAGATACTAATGTCTTACTCGATGTCTTGCTTTTACTACAGAATAAAAAAATTACTATAGAGACATTAAAATTCAAAATACTACAGAGACAAAAGACTATCGTTTCAAAAAATTGTATAAGGTGATTAAAAAAAGATTTATATTTTCTTATTTATAAAAATGGCATTGATACCCATGTCTACGCTACTGAATAGTTTTTTTTTTTGGACAATACCACTAAATTATATGCCGAATGGTCTTGTACGACAGCTGCAAATTTCAAATTCTTATTTCAAACCGTTCCGAAATTATTAAAGAATTTCACATTTTATCACCAAAAGTGTATTAAGAAAATTTGCATAATTTTGCTTGCTTATTATCATAGTACAATTTGCGACATGTACGGACTACCCGGTATATTATGTTATAAGCGTGTTCAAGATAACCCAATATCCTGTTGAATTTGGGTCACCCTCTATAGCTACTTACAGTTTACAAGATATCGTTAATCTTTGGCTGCTTGTTTCTAGGTGAATTTGTTGGTTGGTTGTATGATGGAGATTACTGTAAACAAAGTATTGAAACTGCTGGTCTACAAGTTTATGGAGGATTTTACAATGGTTGCAGTAGAATCATGCCCTCTATTACTTTATACATTTTAGTTGGCGTTTTTAGTATATTCATTTGTAGGAAAATATTGTTTAAATTGTAGATAATACTGTGCATAGAAACTACTTTAATTCTTCCAGTTAATTTACTTAAAAGCATTTCTAATACCTATGTAGTCATGAAATAATTTACTTCTGTTTATATTAACATACATACCTAGTTATCGGTGCATATAAATTGTGATTAATGTTTTAAATAAGGTGGCGCCCTAAATTAATTGTTAATTTTAATTACTGTAAAATATATTGAAAATAATTATGTTATTTGTATGTAGGTATTTTTATTACCTACTTAAATTAATATTTTTTCCTGTTACTTTTTTTTTATTATTATTAACACCATTACAATCTGACGTCGTTTGCTACATATATTAAGCTCTATATATTTACTGATACAGAATAATACAAAAATTGTCTAGTAAATATAATTTACCATATACGTAAGCTGTGTTCTCAACTACTGAATCTTACTTATTTTTTATAATTAACTCTCTATGTACATAGTTTTACGTTTTGAATTGTTTTAAATAAACGTTTATTTAAAATTTTGTAGCAGTTAATAATTCCTCAAATTTCCCCTAGCTAAAAAAAACAATGCTTATAGAACTATTTTTGCCGAGAAAAAATTAAATTTTTTTTTATAAGTATCCACATGTGCAAATGTACATATTGAGTGACTTCCATACTACAATCTTTTATGCAAGATACGATACATGCAATTCAGGAAAACAGGCGTTTCACTTTGAACACCTCCCATGAATCCTTCTCATAAATTTCAAAATCTCCCTTACATGAAATAGTAACAAACGTGTGCTCGGTGGATACCAAAGGTTTTGACTGAAGTTCACAACACGAAATGAAATTTTAGACTGAATATGACAATAATTGTGACGAATTTCTCGACCGGGAGAACTCTTCTAACGGGAGAAGAAACATGAGTTTCTTATAAATCACCCGAATCCAAGCGTTAAGTAATCTATGGAGTGGCACCATACACAAGAAAAATGATAGCAACAGTTTTTTGGGACCGAAAGGAATTTATAATAAGAGATTAATAAAGTCAACTCTTCAACAACTTCGACGCGCTATCCAAAACAAGATACATGGAATGTTGTCCGAAAAAGGTGTTTTTGATTCACGACAACGCTCGGTCTCATGCATCTGCACAAACACAACAACTTCAACCTCTTAAGTGGGAAAGTTTTGGACATCCTCCTTAGAGACCTGACCTGGCACCAAGCAATTTTCACTTCTTTCCGAAGCTACATGTATTTTTGGGTGGAAAACAGTTCGCAAACAATGAACATCTCAGAGAAGCAGTGACATCCTGGTTTAGATCTTAGACATTGAAAAACTGGTACCAAGTGTTTTGACATCAGTAACGAGTAGATACTAATAAGGTTCTGTAACTTTGTACATACTATTTTGTGTTTTCGTTTTTATTTCATTTTTTTCGTTTTTCGTTTCGTCGTTCATTTTTATTTAGTTATGCCAAGTCGTTCTTAACTTTCTGAATGACTCTCCTATTATATCGAAAAATACAATGACAAAAAAGAAAATATAAGACAGTCACTCGAAAATTACAGATATCAGAAAAGTGTAAAGTTGTAGGAAACTCGTTAAATTATTTTAAATCCATTATGCATTCAGTTTCTAAAATATCGATCTAACATACATTTTTTTTCAAAATTGAATGCTTTGCATATTACAGTAGCATAAGGTTTGGAATTCCTGTGACTATTTCTAACAGAAAGAAAGATCAAAAGGTGCAATAAGTTTAAAAGGAAATTGTCATTGTTAGGTCACCGAATCTTTCACTGAGACATTCTGGCAGATATACCAATTAAAGAGTAATCGCTAAAAAATTAGGTAATAACAATTCATTATTTCTGTATCCTAAGAAAGAGTAAAAGTATGTAAAAATATACAGGGTATTCCATTAAGCAAATTCAATCGATATCTCAGTAATATAATATTGTCTTTTTTACAAAATGGGGATTAAAAAAACTTTCTACACCACAGCAAAATAAATGATGGACGAAGAAACAACAAAAATATAAAGACGATCCAACGATGAAGATGCGGAATGGTACAAATGATCCATTAGGGTACAGCGATAACGGTGTACTGCACATAAACTCGAACAGGTGCCGTGCCATGTACGGAGAAGGCGATCATAACGACGCACCTGAATATCCTCTTCATCTTCATCATATTACAATTTCATTCTTTTTATTACATTCTGATTCGATTCCGCTCTAAGTAGTGAAAGTTCATTACATGCCGCAGTAAACTCTTCTGGAGAATCTAGATAAATCTTTGTTTTCTGCGATTGCAATTTGAATTTTCTTCAATTTAGAAGTTGATTTTGGAATAATATGCGTGAATCTTTCTACAGATTGCATTTTTAACGTCTGTCAATTTCAATTTTTTTCCTGTCACGTGTTTCGCTTTTTTTGATTTTTTGCATTTTCATTTTTACCACTTTTTTACGCACGATAAATACTTCTGACAGACACTTTACAAAGTTCTTGATTTGTGGCTCGTTTACGACTACGCTGATTATAAATAGTTAGTCCACTAACATTTGCACATGATTTTTATACACTGTGTCCCAAAAGTCGCTTAACAGCAAGATATCTAGATTAATAGTAAGTTTTTTAGGTTAGGTTTAGATCTACTTCAGAAAATTCATTCCTTTTGTCATTGTTTGACGAGTAAACAAATGTTTACATTTAGCCCCCTACCCCCCACAAGGTTCCCCCCATTTTTTTTAAATTGCACAGTATGGCTTGTGATACGTCATGTGAAGATAATTTCATTCTCTTTACAGCAATGTAAAATTTTCTGGAAAATTTTAGAGGACAAGGGGTTACAGCTATTTTTTCTTAAATACACACAAATATAAACCCAAAAATAACACAATTATGCGATTATACTCTGAATAAAAAATATATTTTAATAAATGTTCAAACTGTCTCCCACTCTCAATTTAGCAATGTCCCAACCTATAGTTATAGTAGAACGACGTCACATCGTTTATTAAAGTTTATCTAGTAATTTGTTGCGATTCCTCAAATATTCTGTGCCTCAAGTCGTTTATATTTAATGGCTTTGTTTCATAAATATTATTTTTTAAATGTCCCCAGAAGAAGTAATCTAGGGGTGTTATAACAGGAGAGCGTGCTGGCCATTCAATAGCACCTCTTTTCCCAATCCATGTATTCGGAAACATTTGATCCAGGAATTGCCGAGTTCCCATAACAAAATGAGATGTTGTACCGTCCTGCTGGAACCATATTCTGTCAAACTAAATGTCTAAGTTTTGTAAAGCAGGTACAATTTGATTACATAACATTTGTTCATAGTTTTGGCCATTTACGTTACCATCAATTACAAACAGAACAATAATGGTAGTGCCAATAATAGCACCCCATGTATTTATTTTTTGAGGTCTCTGGGTGTGTTCTTCTCTCATCCAATGAGGATTTTAATCACTCCAGTACCTCAAATTGTAACGATTGACTAAACCATTAATAGTAAAAGTACCTACATTCGTCAGAAAAACAAATATTAAATATAAAGTTAGGGTCTTGGTCAACTTTTGCCATTATTGTTTAACAGAAATCAAGCCTTTGACCATAATCATCTTCCTTAAGGGCGCCATATTCTTCAAATAGTGTTTTCCATAAAGACAAATAATTTCAAACATTTAATAACTGAATAATCTAAAGCTTATCAAATAATAACAATGTTATGTCATGTCATCTGGGTATTTTCAAACACAGTAAAACGAATAAACAGGTGCAAAAAACGATCAAACCATCTAGGTTTTAGGTATTGAAATCTACGAAAATACCAACTTTTTTATATACAACTCCACATGTAAATATTCTTATAACATTTACTTGCTTATCCTACATATAAAATTGTTTACTTTTATTTATAAGTACGTGAAAATGATTCTTAAAATGTGGGGTTAGGATAACAGCAAACGCATGTTTTACAAACGCTATTTTTAGTTATTATTTTATTTGNAAATATAGCTTATGCAAACAAATTGGTAAAATTAAGTTCTCGAACAACCCCCTAGTGAGCGAAAAATGTCTTTACGATTAGAATTAACATTACAAAATAAAAGGTTTTTACTTTTTCTCTAATCATACGAATAATTTGTTCTATTAGCCTCAAACGGATTTAAACGGATGCAAACTACCCCTCATGTTCACCCCCAAAAACAGTATTTCTGGGACATCTCGGGTTCTAATCAATATTTTGGAATGAAACGAAATGGAAATTACTTATAAAAAAAACAGATATTTCACAAATATTTTTTTTTATTGGTCTAAAACGGATTTAAACTGATGCAAACTACCCCTGATGTTCATCCCTCAAAAACGGGTTCGATAATTTCCATTTTGATTCATTCCAAAATATTTATTAGAACTCGAGATATCACGGATATACTGTTTTTGAGGGTGAACATCAGGGGTAGTTTGAATCTGTTTAAACCCTTTTTAGACCAAGAGAAAAATTTATTCGTATGATTAGACAAAAATTAAAGACATTTTTCGAACACTAGGGGATTACTAGGGGGTTGTTCGCCCCCTAAAATGAGAAATTACTTTTGTCAATTTGTTTACATAAATCATATTTTTAATATTTTGAATCAATATTAATTTTTTATATATAAAAATGTTTGAAAATATACTTAGTTTTCCTGAAATAAAAAATAAGGGTTGCAACCCCCAAACACGGAATCACTTGTGAAACATTTTATTTTTTTAAAAGAAGTAATTTCCATTTTATATCATTTCAAAATATTGACATGTCACAGAAATACTGTTATTGGGGGTGAACATGAGGGGTAGTTTGCATCCGGCTATGCGGCTAATAGAACAAATTATTTGTATGATTAGATTAGAGAAAAAGTAGAAACTTTTTATTTTGCAATGTTAATTGTAATCGTACAGACATTTTTAGCACACTAGAGGGTTGTTCACTCCCTAAAAAGAGAACTTAATTTTGTCAATTTGTTTACATAAATCATATTTTTTATATTTTTTTAACAAATATGAATTTTTTTATATATAAAAAATGTTTGAAAAATATAGTTTTTCTGAAATAAAAAATAAGGGTAGCAACCTCCAAACACGGAATCTAATGTGAATTTCCATTTTTTTTTTTTTTTCATTCCAAAATATTGATTAGAACTCCAGATATTTAGAACAAACTGTTTTGGGGGGCGAACTTTGAGGATG